CCCAGGCGCCTGGGTGGCTCAGTGGGTTAAGCCGCTGCCTTCGGCTCAGGTCATGATCTCAGGGTCCTGGGATCGAGTCCCGCATCGGGCTCTCTGCTCGGCAGGGAGCCTGCTTCCCTCTCTCTCTCTCTCTCTCTCTGCCTGCCTCTCTACTTGTGATCTCTCTCTGTCAAATAAATAAATAAATAAAATCTTTAAAAAAAAAAATAATAAAATAAAATGGCTCAGATTTATTAAGGACTAATGCCCAAATAGGGGGGGAAAGGGGGGGGCACAGAAAATAAACAAATCAAGAAAGAAGAAATCCAAAGGGCCAATAAACATAATTCTTTGCCTTACAAGAATTCCGGAAATGCAAATCAGAACAATGGGATGCCTTTTAAAATCATCCATCAGACTAGCAAGAAATTTTAAGTGACATATCAGATATTGGTGAGATGGTAGGAAGAAATGGCACTTGCATGCAATGCTAGTGAGGGTATAACCGCTTTGGGACCAGTTTGGCAGTATCTAGGAAAGTTGAAAAATGTGCATATGCAATAGTCCAGCAATTCCACTTCTGATAGGTATTTCCAGGAAACTCACACATATTGCAGGACACATTCATGGTTGTTGGATAGTTTGTGATGGGAAAGAATTGGAAATGGCCCATATATTGGATTGGATTAAAAATATGAGTTAATAAAATGTGATAGTTTTACTATGGAATGCCCTCTAGTCACTGAAAGAAGTAAACTAGAACTCTATGTTTTGAGTTAGATCAATTATACATGCAATGTTGAATGAAAAAGTGAAAAATAGACTAGAATGATATACCAAAATTATGACACTTATTGCAGTGGGGCATGGAGGCAGTGGAAGGAATTGGCTAAGATTTGGCACAATAAACTTAATAAACTTTTTTTTTTTTTAAGTCATGCAGTGTAAAGGCAAGCAAACATGACATGGCTAATTCTGGGTGATGAAGTATAAGTACATTTTATGTAATTCTTTGTACTTTTCCTACACTTGAAATTTTTTTTCCTCAAATAATTAAAAAGAGCCTAAATGTATGTTTAGTGTGTTTTTGGATTATTCCCATTATTATGGGAATTATTGGGTTTCTTGGAAGTTGGCGTGCAGGCAGGTGCTTATCAGCTGAAGTAGCACAGGTGAAAGGACACAGCCCTGTGCATGGTGCACTGGGTTCACTAAGCAGATACCAACCTCTTTCTCCTTAGCCCGGTGCCCTCTAAGCACCTGGGGAGATGAAAGATGGACATAAGAACAAGAGTTTTACCAGGCAAAATGGTGAATCAGCAGTCATTCAATTGCCTTATTAATGGTGAATGTTTTAATTCATTGTGCTTGTCATTGTTGGTTTTTCTCAGGTACGTTTATAGTCTGTCCTTCTTTCTGCACAGGGGAGGAAGATGATTTGTCTCTGCTGACTGCGCTGCTGGAGGAGAATGAGTCTGCCTTGGATTGTAATCCAGAAGAGGGTCACCCCTTGACCCAGGGGGATGGCGAACCCGACGCATATGACGAGCTCTTTGATGCAGATGGTGATGGTGAATCTTACTCAGAGGAGGCTGCTGATGGAGACCTGGGAGAGACTGAAGAGCGAAAGGAAAATTTGGCCACTCTCTTTGGAGATATGGGGGACTTAACAGATGAAGAAGAAGTTCCCACACAGCAATCACCTAAAAATAGAGTCCTCCCTGCTCCTGCTCCCAATCAGGGGAAAACTAATCAAGAGTTGCAAGGTGCCCTAACTACTTGCTCTTCTAATTTCTTCAAGATACACTAGATGGGAGCTAACAGTTTTCATCAAAATAGCTGCTGAGTCAGGGTGGTAATAAATGACTTGACCAAAAAAAAGGGTGGGAATTAGTAGAGGAGACATTTCAGGCGGCAGAGGCCCCTGTCCCAGTGTCAGCCAGCCATAACTAGTCCTTCCCAGAATGGCTCCACCAGCTTTCGTGCCTATTACAGAAAAATCTCACTTAGAGGTTTATATGCATGTGGAGCCAGGGGTAGGACTGTAGGCTTCTCCTCCTTCTATTTGGGCCAGAGGCCATTTATGAACAGAAGCTTTGAGGAGAGCCCTTTTCTAATTTGTGACATTGTCTCACATATTTTGAAATTATAATCAAATTCAGTGGTTGTCTATTTCTTCTAATAGAGGAGCCCGCATTTATTACATTAATTATGGTATTCACTTTATGATATAATAATCATTCCCTGACACCTAAAAACTTGTTAGCTAGGAATATGCTTCTGTGATATTTGTAAGTAGTACCAGTTTGTAACTAGCTTAGGTATTAGAGGCTTGATTACTGAAAATACGAAGTTTATTTCCCTGAAGAACCTCTTTGAAATACCAAAGTTAATGGTAGTTCTCAGTATGTGACTATATTGTGGGTCTCAGGGTGTTAAGGTGGGGAGTAGACACCAAAAATAATTACAACATTTTTATCATGTATAATATTTCTTCTGCTGTGGATCTTAAATCAATATATTTTTCTTCCCTAGATGAATTAAGGAAGTTACAAGAACAGATGAAATCCTTACAGGAACAGCTAAAAATAGCAACACTTAAGCAGCCTGCAAGTCCACCCCTTCTGCCTAAATCTGGTAATCAAACTGTAATTCTAGGAATAGTGTGCAATTCTGTTAAGAAATTATTGCATTTTTTCTGCATTCAGCTGCTGGTAAAATAGACTTTGAGCCCCTTTCTAAATTTCCTTTGTGAATTTCTTTTTCTTTTCATAAAGTAGAGAAGTCTCCATGCTCCCCTCTTAAAGAGAAGAAAGTTCAGAGAATTCAGGAGTCGACATGCTTCTCTGCAGAGCTCGATGTCCCTGCTCTACCAAAAACCAAGCGAGTGGCTCGGACACCAAAGATTTCATCTGCAGGTATAGTAGGCAAGGCCTCCCTGGTTTTTCATTACTCTTGCTCTGTTTAAAAGTCAATTTGGCACTGTCATATCTGTGTGCGGGGGGCACTGTCATACCTTTCTGGTGGGGAAGGGCCAGGGGTCTATCTTACCTGCCCATTGAGAAAATTAAGTTTGTTGGGAATGAGAGCCATGTGGTGTATTTTGTAATCTTTCTCTACATCTCAGAGTGCTTAGAAAATCCTTAGATAAAGAGTAGCTATATTTACTAAAACAGTGAATTGAATTTTTTTTAACTCTGTAGTCTTCAGTTGACTTGAATTATAGTAAGTATAACTACTGGATTGAGTTCTCAGGCAATCCAGAGATTGACTCTTTGGGCCCCTGAGTTCAAGCACAGATTCCTTTTAAAATGGCTATGTTTTATTTGAAGCCAGGTTGTATTAAAGCAGATGGTCCATTCTTTAGAAAAGACTTCTTTGCCCAGATTAGAGACGTGTACTCAAGTATAGTTCTGGTTTAGCCCACATGTAAGCACACAGTTAAAATGAAAAATATCTATGACCCCTATGTATTGATTTTGTTGCACTGCCTCAGTTTGCACATGGTAATACTTTGAAAGATCTAAGACAAAATGGTCTGGTTACTCAGAGTAAACAGCATGTTATTGATCACTCATGTTCAAAAAGGCCCTTTTAAAGTGGCATAAGACACAATAGCAGAGAATAACAGCCTCTCCATATTCACATTTGAAACAAATTATATATTCCATGTATCCATTAATGAATGGCATCCTTCCCCTTAGGACCTTTGACATTAATAAGGTGTTTCATTAAGTAGTGTCCAAAGTTAAGTTTTGAGAGGGTGAGGCATGGGCAGGCTTTCTAGAGATTCTAAAGTTCTAGGGTTGTCCTGACCCTGGAAGCTTACGATGATGACCCAAAGTCTCTTTGAGGATAAAACAATACAGTGTTATTTCAGAGAAAATAGGTTTATTAAGGAAAATATCCAAAATATCCTGACCTTCAGGAACATTATCAAACACTTCTGAAGTAAGAATACTAACTACATTGGGGATGTTTAATGCAACCAAGTCAGCAAAATACCCTGGTCCCCCTAGTTCCCCACCCCCTTCCCCACCACCACCACCACAAATGAAATGAAATGGAACGGAATGGGATGAGATGAAACCAGAAACAAAGAAAGGGAAGCTAACATTGGATTTTCTTCAGGTCAAAGTTGATCTACACACAAATCATGAATTGATCCCGTCACAGTTGATCTACACACAAATCACTAATTGGTCCCTGAAGGAGGGCTCTTACTCCCTTGTGGAGTCTACCACAGCAATCTGTGTATGGGGAATACTCAGTAAATGTCATTGCACAAAGGATCTGTGTTTGAGAGCAGCACTATAATATAGCCGCCACCTGCTCCATGTGGCTTTTTAAGTTTAAATTAGATTAAATAAAATTAGACATTCATTTCTTTGGAAACACTATTCCATTTTAAGTGCTCAGTGGCCACCATATCAGACAGCATCAGTGTATAACCTTTCCATTGTCACAGGAAGTTCTTTCGGGCTACACTGCAGAGGTTTGGAGGATAGTACAGAAATGGTCTTGTGGGCGTCCTTTGTTCTCAAGATTTGGTTATTGCATATGTTGATTTTAAAAGAAGCAATTCTATAAGAACAAATTTTGTAAGGATCAGTGGGATTTTTTCCTTTCACTTAACTTTTATGTTAATTTTCTAGAGCCCAAAAGCACATCTTCGAAGATGACAAGTACACCTCCCCAACCACTCCAAACTACTCCTGGAAACAAACTTAGAGGGTTGGTCAGAGATCAGAACACAGGGACCCCCAGGAGTTCAGGGGAACCGGCCCAGACAGTGGTCTCCGTGGAAGCCTTCTCAGGCCTGAGGCTCAGGTCAGTAACTGTAGAGCCCTCACATTCGGTTCTTATGGCATCACTAGATGCTTTGTCCTCCTTCCCAAGGATTAAGCCTTTTTGAAATAATGTGTTTGTACAGCAGATCCACTTAACACCAACAGCTCTTGAATTTGGCAAAACTTGGCACTAAGATGAGCCATAGCATTCAGTACAGTTTGATTGTGAAATGTTTAAAGAATGCATTTTCATTTATTCATTTAATATGAATAAAAGATCATGTATCTGTAAAAAGGAAGTGGACAAATAAATAATAGTTTATTTCATCAGAAACACTGATGGAGACTATTTTTAAGCCCATAAAGGTATATACAGTTTAACCAGGATAGTAGTACCTTCTTGTAACTAATGTTAAGAAAAGTACCTGTGCTCTTTTTCCTACAATGCCAGGTAATCTCTTAATTAGAATAATAATCTAATCCTTGCTGGTTTCTTGACCCAGGCGGCCTCGAGTGTCTTCCACAGAGATGAACAAGAAAATGGTTGGCCGAAAACTGATCAGACTATCTCAGCTCAAGGAAAAGATGGCAAGTGAGCAGCTAGAAGAAGTAGACTGGGTGACTTTCGGGGTTATATTGAAGAAAATCACTCCACAGAGTTCTAATAGTGTAAGCCTACTGATTTCTTAACTGCTCCATCACAAGCTGACCATAGGTGCTCATGTTCAGGATTTCTCTACCTTAAGCCTATCAGTATTTTATCTTGAGAATGCTGCTAGCAAGTTTGCAGATTGCCTCACCATTGTTGGATTGCTGTCTGAAGGTTAAATTTGTAAAGAATGCCCTGCAATAACAAGACCTGGTTGTACAGAGTCCTTGGGCTTTTCATTGTATTATTACTGCTGCATTTCACTTGTCATTGTTTTGGGGGTACATGTGGTGGCCCCTGTGACACTGTCATCCCTCTTGTGGGAGAGAAGCCGAGTTTCTAGATGCTCCAGAGAGCGTGCCTAGAAGGAAGAGGTCAATCTCAGAAGTTCTAAAATTGCCATCCTGTGCCAGCACAGTGGATCTTAGAAAAGTTCTAACAGGTTTTAAAATCGCACTTGACGGAGAGGTAACAGGTAGATGACTTGTGGCCTGGCAACTCAGAAAACCTGGGGCCTGAGCCTCAATCTCCCTAGCTATGTGAACTTAGGTTGACCTTTAATCTTGGAGGACGTCCATTTCCTTCTTTGTAAAAGGAAAGAATTGGCTTTTGGTTATACCAGAATTTTCTCTGAGCTCTCAAATACTATGCTTAATCATGCTTAATTGTGATTTCATTCTCTAATTGAGATCTTGGTCAACCTTAGATTGTTATGTGGTTCTTGATCTAGCCCTTTGTCAAGGTGAATGTGAACACATCTGGTTCATTTTATTAAGTTCTTAATTGTGTCACAAGTGGCTATAATGACATTGAAATAACAGGTGTGAAATTTTATCTGAACCCTTCCAAGAAAGACCTTGTACAAATCCATGGAAACATAGTTATAACACTTGAATCCAGTCAATAACTCACCATAAGCTATGACCACACCTGTTCTGGGATACCTGTGTGAAATAGTTTGATTCAATATTCAGATTATTTTAAGTAATAACTGTGAAAGTAGAAATTTTTATATAAATGGTTAGCATTTTGAGTTGCATTTTTTCAGATATGTAATGCTTCTGAAATTTTACAGTTAAACATAACCAGCTGTCTTTAAATGATACTTTTGTTTTTCTTCTAAGCTAGGCAAAGATTGAATAGCACAGAGCTGACATCTTTTTATTAATATTAATAACATAATTAACCAGTGGTAAATAATAGATCCTTTAAATTTATATCAGTAAATTGTTAAATGATAGTGCCACAACCTCCTCTGGTCCTTTTAATACTCTGTGTGTGTGTGTGTGTTTGTGTGTGTATGTGCGCGCGCACGCGTGCGTTCAGTTAGAAAGGTCATACTATCCCATTGACTATTTAGACCTGAGAATCAGAGACTTCACTAACATTTGTGCTACTGACTTGCCTTACTTCACCTTCATTTCTAAAATGAGAAAGGTAGTAAATACTAAAGCCTAGAGAGAGGTTTAATTTATAATGAACAGACATTCTCAAGATTTTATAGTCAGGGTGGTTTATATTTATATATGCTTTCACAGTAGAGCACTTGAACCATAAATGGAGATAGTATAGCCCATTGTGCAAAATTTATTAAAAATAAGAATAAATATTTGTTCCAGGGGAAAACTTTTAGTATCTGGCGACTGAATGATCTTCAAGACCTGACACGGTGTGTGTCATTGTTCTTGTTTGGAGAAGTTCACAAAGAGCTCTGGAAGACTGAACAGGGTACTGTTATAGGGCTGCTCAACGCAAACCCCATGAAGCCCAAGGATGGTTCAGAGGAGGTAAGAGTCTGTTTCCATGGCTTCTTTCTTCCTTCCTTCTTTCCCTCCTTTCTTCCTTCTTTCCTTCTTTCATTTCTTTCTTTCTTTCCATCCTTCCATCTGTCTGTCCTTCTTCCTTCCTTCCATCTTTCTTTCTGTCCTTTCCTTCCTTCCTTCTTTCTGTCTTTCCTCCTTCCTTCCTTCCTTCCTCCTCCCTCCCTCCCTCTCTCCCTTCCTTTCATCCTTCCTTATCTTTATAGCTTAGCCAAGTTCTTTCAAAAACTTGTCTACCTCCAGATACTGAATCAGGCTTTTATATATCTCCACTAATTTGACTTTTTGTTTGTTCCTCACCCACCAATATTCTGAATTTCCACCTACTCTTAAGTGTTTCATAACAGCTTCTTTCGTTAAATCTTTCCACATCAGTTCCAAGTTTCCTGGAGTGTTTTGAACTATTCTGCTCAGGTCTCCTTACATCTCTCTCACAGATCTCCGTTGGGAGCATCAAGCAGGCAGGATTTTCTAGTTGACGGGACTTTGCTCCATTAGTTGTACAGCTGTAGCTGCAACTTAGAATCAGAGTGATTTTATCTTCTTAAGCAGCAGTAGAGTTTTCTCTGCTATTGCAGACAGAGATCTGTGAGAGGCAGAGTTATTTCTCTTCTTCCTTTCACCATAGAATGGCAACAGATCATCTGTTGGTTCAAAATGTGTTTAGGAACAATAGAGAAAAACTTCCCTACAGGTTTTTTTTGTTTTATTTTGTTTATTTTTTAAAGATTTATTTATTTATTTTAAAGAGAGAGAGAGAGAGAGCACAAGCCAGAGGGGCAGAGGGAGAGAGGATCTTAACCCGAGCTGGATACAGGGCTCAAGCTCATCTCCCTGAGATCACAACCTGAGCCAAAACCAAGGGTCAGATGCTTAACTGACCAGGCAGGCGCCCATATTACAGTTTGTTTTAATGGTAAACATTGGGGTGTGTTTTTCTCCCATAATAAATAATCCCAGTGTAGACAATGTAGTGATGTCAGGACCAGTGTCTCTGAGCCTCTCAGCCTTCTCCTCTTCCACTGGATGGCTCTGAAGCTCTTTCCCTTACATTGCCATTCAAGGCAGGAGTGAGCCAGCACCACCCTGTCTGCTTTTGTTGGGAACTCCTGTGTCGGTCTCTTTGGCCGGAACACAGTCTCATGACCAATGCTAGCTTCAAGGGATGCTGGGGAAATGAACAGGATCCATCACCTGAAGCTGAGCATTGGCCAACCCAAGTGAGATCCAGATTCTATAGCAGAGGCACAGGAGAGAATGGGTATTGGGTACAGAATTGAACATGTCTTCTATTCCTCCTATTCCTATAGCTGTTTTGCAGGGTCTGGTTTCTAATTCCTGTAGACTGCTAAAGCCTTGCTAACTCCCACCAGCCAGCCTCTTACTTATTCTTGCCAATGAAAGGGCATACCTTTGTGGGCTTTTAACTCCCACCCTGTGTCTTCTCTGCAGGTGTGTTTGTCTATTGATCATCCTCAGAAGGTCTTGATCATGGGTGAAGCTCTTGATCTGGGAACCTGTAAAGCAAAGAAGAAGAATGGACAGCCGTGTACACAGACTGTTAATTTGGTTGGTTTCCACCCTGTTGGGATGGTTTCTCCTGGAGATGGGATCTAATGGGTGTAGATTGTAGATAGCCTAGTGGTAATAATCTGTTTGCAACAGAGTTTCCTACATAACAAGAAGCACCAAAGTAAGAAAATTCACTGTGTGGTGAGTAACTGCCAGTTTGAAAAACTGAGGACAAGGGAAGGATTTAATAAGGTGATCTTTTACTGCCAACTGACTAGGAAGTATAAGGAAGATGGAATTTGAGTTTGCCCTCAATTCTGAGCAGTGCCAGAGACCAAACACTGTAATGAAATGCACTGAAAACCTTATTTTAATCTCTGAACTCCAACATGTATTTTCTTAGAGCTTTTTAAAAAATAATAGTCATGATAACTTGAGATATAATTCACGTATCATACAGTTCACCCTTTTAAAGTGTACAGTATAGTAGTTTTAATACTGAGATGTGTAGCTATCACCACTATGTAATTTCAGACCCCTTCCCAGTACCCCCCAAAAAACCCCATACTCATTAGCAGTCATCTCCCATCACCCTCTTCCCCCAGCCCCTGGTGAGCACTACTCTGCTTTCTGTCTGGATTTGCCTTCTCTGGACATTTCATATAATGGAATTGTACAGTCAATGACCTTTTGTGTCTGGCTTTCACTTAGCATGATGTTTACAAGATTTGTTCACGTCACATGCGTCAGTACTTCATTCTTTTTTGTGGTTGAGTAATATTGCATCATATGCACAGACTGCTTTTGTTTATTCATTAGTCAGTGGTCCTATTATGAATATTGCTGCTATCGCAATCTTTTTTTTTTTTTTTTAAATTGTCAGAGAGAGAGAAAGAGAACACAAGCAGGGGGAACAGTAGAGGCAGAGGGGAAAGCAGGTTCTTTGCTGAACAAGGAACCCGATGTGGGACTTGATCCCAGGACTCCAGGATCATGACCTGAACCGAAGCCAGACACTTAACTGACTGAGCCACCCAGGTGTCCCTGCTCTCAGCATTCTTGCACAGGTTATTATGTGGACGGATGGATGGATGTTTCCAGTTTCCTTGGGTATATAACCTGGAATTTCTGGGTTGCACCATAACCCCATGTTTCAGCTTTTGAGGAACTGCCAGACTGGCTTCCAAAGTGGCTTTTACATTCTCACCAGCAGAGAGGAGGGTTCCGTTTTTTTTCATATCCCGGCCAACACTTGTTTTTGTCTTGTCACTGATGACAGCCATCCTAGTGGGTGCGAAGTGGTGCTAATTAGAGCTCTTTGAACAGATTAAATGGCAAGTTTTTGTTTTGTCTCCTTTTAGTTCCCTCATTCCTGCCTCACAGATGAGCTAGTGAGCAGGAAATAGCAGGAGGGAAATAGTTGGAAAAAGAGGTATCAGCAGGAAGTGCCTGACATATTTCTTCATAGCAGTGCAATCATTAAAAACCCGTTGTTGCTGCATCTAAGAGCCACCCAATGGAACATTAGCACGTTTCCCTTTTTTCCTTCACCGAAGGGTAACATTCGTCCAGGAGGCAGCCAGAGGAAAATAGAAAAATTTCACTAGAACCTAATGTTTATTCTTTTTTTTTTTTTTTTTTTTTTTTTTAAGAGAGCTAGAGAGAGCTCTTAGGGGTTGAGGAGTAGGAGGAGAGCAAGAGAGTATTAAGCAGACTCCACCCTCAGTGCAGGCCCCGAAGTGGGGCTTGATTTCACGATCCTGAGATCATGACCTGAGCCAAAATCAAGAGTCAGACAACAGACTGAGTCACCCAGGCGCCCCAATGTTCTTTTATTCCTAAATCAGTTTGTATTGAGGTAAAATTCATATAACCTGCAATTAACCATTTTTAAATATACACCTGAGTGATATTCAGCATATTTACTCTCATGTAAACACCAGCTCTCTACTTCCAAAATCTTTCATTATCCCACAGAAACACACCATACCCATTAAGTAACCACTCCCTACCTCTCACCTCCATCCCCTGGTGATGTCGCCTTTTGTGTCTGACTTCTTTCACTTAGCATAATGTTTTCAAGGTTCACTCTAGCTGATTTTATTTCCATAGTAGCAAAAGGGCATGTGCGGTGAACAGTATCACTTTTTCTTTCACCCAACTAGAGCTTTTAAGTGGAATTTCAGGGAAGTCGCTGCATAGCTGTACACTCATTAGTGCCCCTGAAGCAGGGAGAAAGGAATAGTGTTTTTTTTTTTTTTTTTAAGGTTTTATTTATTTATTTGAGAGAGATCACAGGTAGGCAGAGAGGTAGGCAGAGAGAGATGGGGGGAAGCAGGCTCCCTGCTGAGCAGAGAGCCTGATGCGGGGCTTGATCCCAGGACCCCGGGATCACGACCTGAGCTGAAGGCAGAGGCTTAACCCACTGAGCCACCCAGGCACCCCAGGAATAGTGTTTATTTATTTATTTATTTTTTTTTTTTTTAAAGATTTTATTCATTTATTTGTTAGAGAGAGAGAGGGAGAGATCACAAGTAGGCAGAGAAGCAGGCAGAGACAGAGGGAGAAGCAGGCTCCCTGCCGAGCAAGGAGCCCGATATGGGACTCTATCCCAGGACGCTGGGATCATGACCTGAGCCGAAGGCAGCCGCTTAACCAACTGAGCCACCCAGGCGTCCCAGGAATAGTGTTTATTGACACTGTTCCCTGATGTGTCGCCCTAGCCCTGAGACAGCTGCTCTTCCTTTTGCAGAACGACTGTGAGTACTGTCAGTATCACATCCAAGCCCAGTACAAGAAGGTCAGTGCCAGGCGAGCCGACCTACAGTCCACCTTCTCTGGAGGACGAATTCCAAAGAAGTTTGCCCGCAAAGGCACCAGCCTACGAGAACGGCTGTGTCAGGATGGTTTCTACTATGGAGGGGTTTCTTCTGCATCGTATGCAGCCTCAATGTAAGACATTCTCTGGGGAATCTTTCAGGATAGAGATCTTGCTACCCTACTTGTGAGAATAAACCCAATGGTTGTACTTTTCTGTAATGGTCCTAGAAGACTTGTACAGGTTTTATCTTTCATAAATTCATGGGCTAGAACAAGGTAGACAAGGACCTCCTTTATTTCCAGGTAGAGAGGAAAACACGGGGGGCGGGGCAGATATTAGTTAAGTTTTATCATGATGGTCTTTAACACAGCCCACACTTCTTATTTTGCTACTAAAGTAAGTAGTACAACATTGTCAGGTCTGATTGTATGGCCATTAAAAGTATGTTAATTCCAGTGTTAGCGTCCATTAAGTCATTCCCCTCCTGACTATTACAGTGAGGTGGCAGATCTCTTGGAAGCCACATTTAACTCTGAATTAATAGCAGTAAAGCCTTAAATAGAGTGGAATGCTGTTGAGTCACACATTCATGGCCGTGTTCTGGGGATCTCAGGCCCTCCATAGAGTCCCCAAAGTAGGTGATCAATGGCCTTGCCACTGTAGGGTAGAAAGCATATCTGAGGACATGACCAGTGGGAACCTGTCTCAAAGGAGCTACCCCTGGTCCAAGAACAAAATAGTTTGTTCCCAGGCAAACAAATTGGGCAAGAAGACTCTCACCTCCTACCTGACTTGTTATATCAAACACATTTTTAAGATTTAAAGTAATGTCTATATTTTTCCAAACTGCAGAAACCAATAGTCCTACATTATAAGAATGTATCTGTATATATGCAGTTCAGCCAAAAGGAGATGATAAAAACTAGGTGTAATTCTGCTACTGAGATAATCATTAGTTCCTTGCTATCTGTGAACACATGCATACACACACACACACACACACACAGAGCTGTATATGCTTCTAGATGTTTTTTTACCATGTGTATAAAATTCCAGTAATATAAAGTGAGATAATACTGGACCTATACTTTGCAACTTCCCTGCCCCCATAAAATAATTAATACTTTCCTTATTGAATATGCACTTACAGCATTATTTTTAGTGGCCACATAGTCTTTTACATGGCTGTGTGATAAAACCATTCCCATAATGCTTAGTGGATAAATATTAATGGTGCTTCTAACTTTTAACATTGCAAACGATATTTTAGCCCATTAATATCCTAAGTTTTTACCTATTCCTTAATTTCTTTAAGATAAATTCCAGACCACTTGATCAAAGTGGTGTCATATTTTTTTAATTTCTTTTGCCATCTTGCTTTTCCAGAATGGCCTCCAGCAAATTTGCAGGTTGCCTGACATAATGCATTCACCAGCTATGCTGTAGGATTGTGGTATTAAGACAGTTCTTATATAATGCTTTGAGAAACTTTGATAGTTTGTAATAAATGAATACTTCTGTGCCTTTACCTCATCAGAGCATTGAATTTTAGTGACTTTCCTTTTGGGGGGTGACTCTTGTCATTCCAGTGCAGCTGCTGTTTCTCCTAAAAAGAAGATTCAAACCACTCTGACTGATCTGGTCGTTAAGGGGGCAGACTTGATCATTCAAGAAACCCAACAAAAACTTGGTAACTTTGTTTCTTGATACTGTATTTCTTTCTGCAGATTAAATATGTAGTCTTTAGGATTGAAAATGGTCACAGTTATTCATGCCCTAAGTTATAAATATCCACTCATCACTATAGCTAGTGAGTGATGTGGCCTAAGCTGAAACAATCAGCCTTGCTTTGCAGCATCTTAAGGAAAAACAGCATATTAATCATGGCTGAGTCTTTGAGTAGATGCTTTATAGATTTTCTTGATGTATCTGCTCTAACTCGTAATGGCCAGTATTAAAATTGGTAGTATCAGGTTCCTGGTGATACTCATCAGTTACCTTCTCATTAAAAAAGGTGTAAGTCAAAGAATGGCACCTCTGCCCTTTTCACTGGGGACTTTGTTCCTAACAGTGTTGAGGGCCTAGGACATACCCTCCCCATAGCGAACGTTCCGGATGTAGTGTAGGAAATGACCATACAGATACTGGTGTCCTAATCATCACTTGAAATAAGATCTATTTGTCACATCTTTGCAGTCCTACTAGTCTACTAGAGGCTAAGGATTCTTTTTTCTCTTGGCATTCCATCTACTGCATTTACAAATGACTAAGTTGTGAATGCAGAGTTTTAAAAGTGATGTCACATAATCTCAAACTGCCAGAACTTTGAATCCTCTAAAGCTGATGTTTGTATATTCCAGGAATACCCCAGAAAAGCTTGTCTTGCTCTGAGGAATTCAGGGAACTGATGGACTTGCCTACGTTTGGAGCCAGAAACTTAAAACAACATTTGGCCAAAACTAGGTTATCAGGTAGAGTCAGCTGTCCCTGCTCTAGCCCCACATCTGTGCTCTCCTGGCGCCTTGGAGCCACTCAGTCTGTGGCTTGTGTTTCAGGGGTGATGGGGAGCTCGAAACCTGCTTTCCAGTCTGTCTCAGCATCAGCCCTCTTGAAGCAGCAGAAGCAGCACATGCTGGAGATGAGGAAAAAGAGGTCAGAAGAAATACAGAAACAGTAAGAATAACTACTTTAATATTCCATATTTACATCTCAGGGATCCTCAGAATGTCTTAATGGGTTTCCAAAATGTGGCTTTAGATTTTGGGTTGGCTACCATTTTAACTTTGAAAGTTCAAAATTAATTTTAACTTAACCTAAGAAGATAGCCTTTCGAGTTCTGTGTTTCTGACTATCGAACCTGAGACCAGGTGGGATAGGTTACAGTAATTAACACCCCAGGAAAGAAGAGAAAGAAGGAACCCTCGAAGAGGGTTTTGGAAAAGGGGAAAGCGCATGTTGACCTGTTTCCTCTCATTTCTTAGTTCTACCACATTTCATTTGTAAATTACAGGCTAAGCCAGTAATTTGCAGTTGTTCAGGTAGATGGTAAAAATGAGGTACTGAAAGTGGAGAGTCATTTTAGAAGCAGAAACAAGTGAAAAACAGTGCAGAAGGTAGATGAATCAAAGATTCTTGCACTCAAGTTTCCAGAATAGTGATAAGAGTAACAGTCTACAGACGTGTCATGTGTATGAAGACGTGCACCGCATAAAGACAGTGTCTCATTCAGGCCTTCACGTAATCTCTGAGGGGCTGTTATCCTTGTTTTATGAGTCATGTAACTGAGCGCCAGAGAACTGGTTGGTGATGGAGTCATGTTTGGACTCTTACCTGTTCTGCCCCCATTAAAACAGTTATCCCAAATCTGGGCCACTGAAAGATAGATGGTCAATAAACAGGAAAGTCAACTTTATGTCACCAGGAAACTCTTTGGAAAAGTCCAGAGCATAGATTTGGCCTCAGGCAGGTGAGTTTGAGGTGCTGATGGAATATCTCTAGAGGTGTTCTTCATGTGACTACAGATGATGTAAATAGATAATACATGGAGTTGTGGCCTTGTGTGAAATAGGGGTCACCTGCTCATTTGAAGGTATTACAGTTGGAAGTTTTTCAGAATTTTACTAGCCAAATAAAACATCTCTTTGGTTGGGGTCTCACAGGGAGGTTACAGGAGTGGGCATGTGGTAGTGAAAACAATCCTGGCCTGGGATTACCCAGTGCTAGACCTCAGCCTGTCACGAGCAATAGAGTGTTGGGCCTTAATTTCTTCATTTATTAAATGAGAGTTCTAGACTGCATAGTTTGTGGCAACTGTTGTTTTTCAATAGCCTTTTAGACTTTAAGACTATTTACCAAATTAATCACCATGCAAATTATAGGTTCTTTCTGTGAAGGACTTTCAGATGTATCCTGTGTGTTATCTCTTCCCAGTAAACTAAAATATAGAGAAATTCCATGAGTTCCTGAAGGTCCCAGCTAACCAGAGAGCTAGGAAGACAGCCCACATCTCACCTTCAGGGCTGTGTTCTGTAGAGAGGCACCCACTAGAAAGCCAGTTAGCAAAAATAGTAATCAGTTCTAAACTGGTGAAATGAGAACTTATCAATGAATAATCTGTTAACCAGAGTTAGTAAAGCCAGCATGTTCTCAGTGTGTGCTAATCTGAATTCTTGACCAAGAAGTGGCAGCTACTTTACTAATGACTACTTATCAGCTGGTGGCCTAGCCTACAGTGTCCCAGTCTGCATATCTGTGGCTGTGTATTTCTTTAAAGATTTCTCCAAAGCTCAAGTGGGGTCAAGAGCCCAGCTGTGCCACCCTCCTCTCAACGGGCCCCTTCTCAGTCTTTGCAAATGGCGGTTGCGTTGCCCAGCCTGGAAGGAACGCCAGCTACACAGACGCCCAAGCTTGGGCGAGGCATCTCAGAAGGAGATGATGTTCTCTTTTTTGATGAGTCACCACCACCAAGACCAAAACTGAGTGCTTTAGCAGAAGCCAAAAAGGTAAGTGGCATCTATTTTCAACATTTGAATTTGCATCCTGTAGGACATAGCTGGAGTTGCAAACTTTTTGTATCTATGATCAGGAAAGACAGACAGTAACAGCTATTTCTTGACCATGATAATTAGAGTCAAAGGAATTTCAAGTGATAATGGTATCAACATTGATTTAATCCAAGCATGTTATCTGTTCTCAACACTGTTCCTTGTGAGGCTGAGGGAGATGGCCTAAATGCTGGCTAGCCCAAAGGAAACAAATTCTGGGACTTGTTAAGGCAAGATTGTAAAGTGGTTGTTTAAAGAATCCTTCTTTAAAAGAAATCTTACAAAATAAAATCTTGGGGTATCTGGGTGGCTCAGTCTTTAAATGTCTATTTTTGGCTCAGGTTATGATCTCAGGGTCCTGGGATCCAGCCCCACATTGGGCTCCCTGCTTGGCGGAAAGCCTGATTCTCTGTCTCCCACTCCCCCATTTGTGTTTCCTCTCTTGCTGTGTCTCCCTCTGTCACATCTTTTAAAATAAATAAAAGAAGTCTTACACAGGAGCTAAATTACTTTGATTGACATGGAAGCTGGGAGTGCTCAGAAGCCCCCTCTCCTCTTCCTCAGCCACTCTGAGCCCTAATTAGAGCCTGTCTTCTCTTTGTTCTAGTTAGCCGCTGCACCATGTGAAGGGCAAAGGCCTGTTATAAGCCAAAGCTGCACCTGCAGTAATGATAGTGATAACAAGTGCACATGTGATCTCGGGGTAATGAGTTTGAGCCCCATGTCGGGTATAGAGATTACTGAACAAATAAACTGTAAAACAGAATAATTGCACATGTACCCATGATATAGACACACATGTTGTTTGTATAGGTTTGTGCTTTGCATTCATTCTCTCATTTCAGCTGCGCAACCTAGTAAACACTATCATCTCTGTTTTATAAATGTAGAACCTGAGGCTGAAAAATTAAGTAATTTGTGTAAGGTTACAAACTAATAAGTGGCAGAGCTAGGACCCTATCCTCATTCTGTTTAATTGTAAAACAAATTTCCACAGTGTTTATGTGATTCCTCTGTGGGTCCTGAAGCCCACAGTATAAGTGATGTTTAACTTAATATTTAAATAAACTGAAATTTTATTAGCTTATAGACCTGTCTCCATGCTTTAAAATTTTAATAACTGGGTTAATAATGTTAGGCAAAAAGAAGGTATATTTTGCTGATTTGTATTTGAAAGCAGAATTCACTGGATTAATAACTAGAAAAGGGACATAGGGCGACAGATACCTGACTCGTAATTAAGATTTTTATCTTTTTTTCCTAGTTAGCTGCTATAACCAAATTAAGGGCAAGAGGCCAGATTCTTACAAAAACAGACCCAAACAGCATTAAAAAGAAGCAAAAGGACCCCCAGGATGTCCTGGAAGTAAAGGAACGTGTAGAAAAGAACACCTTTTCTCCACAAGGTACTGGGGATTTCAGAGTTAGTAGTGGGAAAGGCCACCATCTGTGAGGAGGTGTTCCAAACCATAATCACCATCCCTGATATCGGAAGTCATTGTTTTACTTAAAGTGGCCTCTCTGTACGATACCTAAGTAGAATCTCTACAAACTGGAATGGACCGTTTTCTATAAGCACATTAAATTGAAATGAAATTATGCATAATCTAAAAACTTGAGAAAAAGATTACTCATGGATCTTTACACAGATATATTAGTGTAAAGATTTACTTTGAAAGCAGTGGAATTTCTTTGTTTGCAAATTATCATTTTTACTTTGAAAACTCTGAAGCTGGCAGTAATACTTTACCATCAATTTATTTAAAAAGACTTTTTTTGATGTTACCTATCATCATAGTCCACTCCTATCTTAAGGTGAAAGAGATTCTGATCCAGTGGTCAAATCTGCCATCCCCCCATATTCTAGACCTTACTTCTCAGTTCACTCCTGAAGAGTTTTCCTCTGCTGGTACCTAGTGGGGTAAATGAAGTTTGAGGGGCCTGATTGGCAGAGATGGAGAGAACTAGAGGAAACTGAGTTCATGAGGCTGCCTGGCTTTCTGAAATTCCACTGTGACAGCTACTGTGTTTCCTTTCTGCTCTAGCTGAAGATGAATTAGAGCCTGCCAGGAAAAAAAGGAGAGAACAACTTGCCTACATGGAATCTGAGAAATTTCAGAAAATTCTAAAAGCAAAATCGAAGCACACAGGGATACTTAAAGAGGTAAAAGCTCAAAAGGTCAGAAATGATAGAGATACCTTCCAGACTCAAGGCACTTTGTTGTGAGACTAAGAATCTATTTCTTCGACCTCAACCGAGATGTATTATATGTCTGAGTTAACTTTGAAGAACAGGAATATTTCTGATTGAATTTAGCTTTGCCTCTGTCCTTGAATTGAAGAATATCATTTATCATTATTTTAATGGACCTCAATGTTACAAAAAATGTTGCCTCATAATTATGGCTTTGCTTTGATGTTTAAGCAGTTCACCACTATACCTGTTCTTTTCTGTCCTGCTATATGGGGAGGGATTTTTTTCCCCATTCATGTATTTTTATATTGTGATTTTTAAATACTGTAAGTCAGTTACCAACCCGTTGGGGGTAGTTGCTCCCAAAGCCGTGTATTTTGGATTGCTCCCATATTACCCTGAAATAAGATTCTTGGGTAATATAAATTAACCTAACTATAAATTTCGAGAATATCCTATGTGTAATGTAAAGAAGAAGGAAGGAAAATACTTATATTAAAAGTATATAGTTGATAATGTTAATATGTAGGCATAACTATCTTAGAAGTAATAATGAAGATTATAAATGTAAATGAGACAATGGAAATGAAGTCTCCTTAGGTGTGGTTTTTTTTTTGGTGACTTAAATACCATGGGTCTGTTTCTTTGACAGTGTGATTTTTTTTTTTTAAACTGCAAATAATCCAAGGAACTTTTGAAGACACCAAACTACAGTTGTCCTTCCATATACACAGGAGTTGCCTAGTTGTACTCTTGATATATTCAATGTATATTTGAACCATGCACAAATATTATAGGGTTGTATATAAAGCAGTTAGGTTTGAGGGTTATAATTGGGTTTTTCATCCACATGGGTGGATGACTTCTAGAACAGTCAGAAGAATCCTTTCATATGGAGGGACTGTTCCGTGCATTGAGGGTGCAGCCTCCCGTCTCTGCGAGTAGCAGGGGTAACAGTCGTTGGGATGACCCAAAAAAAGTGCTCCCACCAATTTTCACAATGTTTCAATGGGGGCAGTACTGTCCCTATTTAGTGCTAGTGCACTGAATGCTCTGCTCTTCTGATAAACTACTGACTAATGAGGCAGCTGTGTATCCCACCATTCTACCAGACCTGAAACGTGGCCAGGAGAGAAGCTGGGGCCAACCTTGAGAGGCTGTAGAGCTGAGCTCCTGGCCTCTGTGGCCGCCAGACCTCGGGCCTTGTGCAGCGGTTCTTACTCCTGAGCTGTGACCACCTTCAGCTGTCAGTCTCTCTCTGCCCTCACACCTACTCCCTGTTGTTCCAAACAATCAAGGATTGCTCCTGCCAGGTGCTTGGTCTGGCAGATAGTATGGAATAGACTGGGCTGTCATGCGTGGGGAGGCAATGAATACCTTCCTTGGCTTGAGTCTGTATTGGCATAGCAGAAATAATTTCCTTCTGGTGCACACTCTTGACGCGATGACGCTGTTAATAATGTTAGTATTTTCAGTTTGTATTTGGTATTTTAAAAATCGCCAGATGCTTTCATACTTGCTTTTGGAAAAATAAGAGCTTATGTCTACTTATGATCATCTTTTGGTTTGCAGTTTCTTGAGCTCTTATCAGGTGTCCTCATAATAGCTTGTCTCTTCGGTGGTTTTTATTATGATTATTGAATTGGTGCCTGAATACATTTTGGATTTGGTGCAAGGTCTTTTGTATGCCTTGTCGTTGCAGGCTGAGGCTGAGCTGCAGGAACGCTATTTTGAGCCATTGGTGAAAAAAGAACAGATGGAAGAAAAGATGAGAAGCATCAGAGAGGTGAAATGTCGAGTAGTGACATGCAAGACGGTGAGTGGAGATGCTTCTAACACTGGGCTCTGTTTGGAGCTGTTGTGACCTCTAGTGACTCAGCGGGACACGGAGATATATGGGATATGGGGCCATGTCTCGTGATTGCAGTCCTGCACAGGTCATTTATTTATGCTGGAAAGCAAGCTGCTCATGACAGCCAAGGACCTGGCTGCCTGCCCACTTGGCCTCCAAGCTCTGGTGGCGGAATGTTGGTGGTGAGATTCTCCTCTGATTTGACCACAGCTCCTGGTTCTGCAGGCGAGCCTTGTCCATTGGACCCAAGTTCTTCTGACCTGTGCTTCTCAAGTTTCTAGCACACCCTCGGTCCACAGCTCACAGTCCTGGGACATCAGTTGAATGATTTCCTTTGGCATCACCTGTTAAGACCAATTACTATTAACCCTTTCTACTCAGGGCTTAACCTGCTAAATTGAATCTCAAGGCAAAGGATAAATTGCATTATTTTCTATGTTTGCAGAATTTTTACACTAAGTCTATTAGAAGATGATATACCCTCCATCCTTGAACACTGATAAAATAGGACGAAAAAATATTTCTTGCAGAACCGTATCCTTCCATTACCACTCATTTTATCCTGCCTGACTCATCCTCCTCATAAGCACATGTGAAAGAGAGGAGGAAGAGGCTTCGCTTACCAAGTACCATTTTCTCAGTCTTTATTCCTTTTCAAACCTCAACATTCTCCTTTACATTTAGGGGATGGCCCTGAACCAGCTGTCACCAAAAGGTAGGGATTCCTTGAGAAAATTCAGAATAAGTAAACGTTTTTTCTGAGATAACAGCTTGTACTCTGACAAAATAGCAAACCTAAGGGCATACCTGGTGTGTTAGTTTCCCGTTGCTGCTCAGACAAATAATTACCACCTTGATAGTTTAAACACAACTTTATTATCTTGCACTTCAATAGGCCAGAAGTCTCTGTGGGTCTCACGAGGCTAAAATCCAGGTCTGGCAGGACTATCTTCCTTCTGGAGGCTCTAGGGTAGAATCCATTTCCTTCCCTTTCCCTGCTTCTCAATCCCACACATATTCTTTGGTTTGCAGCTCCTTCCTCCATCTTCAGAGCCAGCCATGGCAGGCTGAGCCCTCTTCTCACATCCTCTGGGCCCTTATGATTCCATTGGGCCCACCCAATCCAGGATCATTTCCCAATTTTAAGATCAACTAACAACTCTGGTCCCCTTTTGCCATGTAGCCTCACATGCTCATAGGTTCTAGGGAACAGGGTGTGTATGTTCTGGGGGTGTGGGGGGCTGTTTTGCCTACCACAGCTGGCATACCACTCTGTTCTGTACTTTCTGAGGCTGCCAGAACTAAAAGTTACTTACCTAGACTCTCATTACCAGAAACCACGGTGCTCTGTCCCAGCAGCTCTTTCAGTGTTCACCCATCATTTCTTTCTTTCCTTCTTTTTTCCTTCCTCCCTCCCTATCTCTCTCTCCCTCTTTCTTTCTTTTCTTTCTTTCTGTCATACGATTCCATTTATGCAAAATTCAAAACAGTCAAATGAATCTCTGCTGCTAGAAAGGAGGGTAGTGATTACCCTTGGGGTGCGGGGGGAGCAGTGCCTGGAAGGGGGTGCAGGGAGGGAGGGCTTCAGGAGTGCTAGGGAGTTTTGTTTCTTAGACTGGATGCTGCTTATTGTTTCCTATACTCTTCAGTCCTTTTGAGGATCAAAATTACAAGTGAATTTTTTTTTTTTAAGATTTTATTTATTTGACAGAGAGAGAGATCACAAGTAGAGAAAGAGAGAGAGAGAGGAGGAGGCAGGCTCCCCGCCTAGCAGAGAGCCCGATGTGGGACTTGATCCCAGAACCCTGAGATCAGGACCTGAGCTAAAGGGAGAGGCTTAACCAACTGAGCCACCCAGGCAGCCCCAAAATTACAAGTGAATTATTAATATCTCTGCTTGGTTCTGCTGCTTATGAAATAGGAGTAGTAATAAGCTTACATCCTATTCTGAGGCTTTTTAAGAGGAAACAAAAGGTCTAGTGAAGAGGCTCCAGTGTCCATGTCCTATCACTAAGCGATGGCAGTAAATTTAGGACAGACCTGATGAAGCTATCAAAAGGTTTCTGGTGCTTTTGTTTTGATGTTACAGAAAGTTATTGTGTACTTCACGCCTGACCAAAAGTTGTGGCAAACATAAGAAAAGGTGGCATCAGTGTGCGAGACTGAAGAAATCGCTGCAGCTAGTAGATAAGATGGTTGGTCTGCTCACAGCTGCCTGAGCAGTGGCGAGAAAACAGAAGTCCTCATGGAACAGATTGCCCTCTTAGCAGCTAGCCAGTTTCTCCGTCGAGGCTCTTGACAGATGTGCCCTCCTGTTGGTTTTATGCAGTGTGCCTATACCCACTTCAAGCCTTTGGAGACCTGCGTCAGTGAGCAGCATGACTACCACTGGCATGACGGCCTAAAGAGGTTTTTCAAGTGTCCCTGTGGAAACAGAAGCATCTCCCTGGATAGGCTCCCCAAAAAGCACTGCAGGTAGGATATCTCGCCTGGCATTCTTAAATCCTCTTTTCAGTTCCCATGTTATGCCGTTGTGCTAGAATGTTGGACAGTCTGTTTTAAGGTCAGGCCTTATTTCCATGCCTCTTACAGCTTCAGGCCATCCCTAAAAGCTCATGGAGGGAAGGGATCCTGAACTCTTCAATGCTTTACCCCCAATACTTAGTATAGTGCCTAGCCCATAGGGGGTCCTTACAAATGTTTGTTGAATGAAAGACAAAAATCAGTTCTCTGAAGGTCCTGGAATTGCTGGGACAAGAAGTAGGGAACCAGAACCAGGGTAGAACCTTAGAGCGATGAGCTAACTTCTGTAGCCGTTTTTGCCCTGGGAGGTTTTGAGGACTCTAGGCCAGGCGGGGAGCTGAGAGCCTGGGTCTTGTCCTGGTGGAGGGCCACCTGTGGAACTGTTGATGGAGATTGGGGTTCTCCCACAGTGGTCAATACTCCCTTTAGGATATTCATTTCATTCAGGTTTTCTAGTTGTTCTCAGAGCACTAGTCTAGGGACTAAGTTGTATGCCACTCAGAAGTAGAATTAAGATCACATTACATGAATAAAACAATTTTGTGGGGACTAATGACTTTTATATATGAAATCATCCCTTTTTAAGATCCTGGAGTATCTTTCCATTTATTCATCCCATCCTCTATGGCTTTTATAAATTTTTAAAATTATCTCCACAGCAATGTTGAATATTCTTAATTCTTAGATGTGCCATCACTTTTGTTGATACTGTGAATGGCAACTTACTTTCTAGTGTATTTTTTAGTTGCTTATTGTCGGTGCAGAGAAATATTATTAATTTTTTATATGGCGAACTTGCCTCTGACAAGCTTATCAGACTCTTATGCCAGCAATTTGTTGATTTCTCTACATAATTGTCATTTGCAAATAAAGACAATTTTACCTGTTTTGTTCCCATCCTTACACCCTCTATTTTTTGTCTTTACTGATAGGGCTGGTCAGACCTCCTATTTCCATTTCTTGAACTTTATCTTAAAGTGAATGTATCCTTCACAAATTTCTCCTCCAAGTATAACCCTTACCAACTTAAGGAAAATCCTATTTATTTCCAGTTTACTATGATTGTGGGTAGGTAACTTCTCTTCGTTGTATGATCTTATCCTTTAGCTTATCAATGTTTTAGTAAGTTGACAAACTTCTTTCTTTATTTTGAATATAAACCCCTTGTCTGATAGATGGCTGGCAAAATTTTCTCCTGTTCTGTAGGTTGTTTTTTCACTTTGTTACTTGTTAATTTTGATGTGCAGAAGCTTTTGAATTTGATGTAATCCCATCTGTTGATTTTTGCTTTTTTTGCCTGAGCTTTTGGCATTGTGTTAAAAAAATCAGGGCTAAGACCAATATCGATGAGCTTTTTCCCTACATTTCCTTCGAGGAGTTTTATGGTTTCAGGTCTTATATGTAAGTATTTCATCCATTTTAAGTTAATTTTTGTGAGGGATGTGAGATAATAGTCCGATTTCCTTGTTCTGTTTGTATTTCTCCAGTTTTCCCAGCACTGTTTGTTGAAGAGACTATCCTTCCCCATTGGGTACTCTTTTTTTTTTTTTTTTTTTTCTCGGACAGAGAGAGAGAGAGAGAGATCACAAGTAGGCAGAGAAACAGGCAGAAAGAGAGGGGGAAGCAGGCTTCCTGCTGAGAAGAGCCCAACACAGAGCTCGATCCTAGGACCCTGAGATCATGACCTGAGCCAAAGGCAGAGGTTTAACCCACTGAGCCATCCAGGCACCCCTACCCATTGGATATTCTTGACTCCCTTGCAAAACATTAGTTGAAATATTAGTTGACCACATATACTGGGCTTTAAATCTGGGCCTTCTATTCTGTTCCTACTGGTCGGTATATCTATTTTTGTGCCATTATCATCCTGTTTTTATTACTGGGGCTTTGTGGTATAGTTTGAAATCTAGAAGCATGATGCCTCCAGTTTTGTTTTTTTTTCCCAACATTGCTTTGGCTATTCAGGGTCTACTCTGAGTCCATAGAAATTTTAGAGTTGTTTCTTCTTCTTCTTCTTCTTCTTCTTCTTCTTTTAAAGAATGCCTTTGTTATTTTGATGGGGATTGCATTGAATATCTACAGATTGCTTTGGGTAGTTTGGCCATTATAACAATATTAATTTTTTTACATCCATGGACTGACTGGGGTGTCTTTCCGTTCATAGGTGTCTTCAGTTTCTTTCAGAAAAGTCTCATAGATTTCCATTCACTTTCTTGGTTAAATTTATTACTAAATGTTTTATTGTTGTTGAGTGTATCCTGAGTGTAAAGGAACATAATTGATCATTGAGATGATCATGTGATATTTTGTATCTTTCATTTTATTGATGTGATATATTAAATTTATTGATTTGTGTATGTTGAATCATCCTTGTATCCCAGGGATAAATCCCATTTGGTCATGGAGTATAATCCTTTTTTTTTAAAGATTTATTTATTTGACAGACAGAGATCACAAGCAGGCAGAGAGAGAGGAGGAAGCAGGCTTCCTGCTGATCGGAGAGCCCGATGTGGGGCTCGATCCTAGGACCCTGGGATCATGAACTGAGCCCAAGGCAGAGGCTTTAACCCACTGAGCCACCCAGGCGCCCTTCCTTCTCTGGTTTTGGAATCAAAGTGATGCTGGTTTATTCATTATTGGTCTGTTCAAATTTTTGGTTTCTTTTTGATTCTGTCTTAGGTTGTAGGTTTCTAGAAATTTATCCATTTCTTCTAGGTTATGTAATTTGTTGGCATATAATCTTTCATAGTCATCTCTGATGATTCTGTGTATTTCTGTAGTATCAGTTGTAATGTCTCCTCTTTGATTTCTAATTTTGAATCTTCTCTTTTTCTTAGTCTAGCTAAAGATTTGTCAATTTTGTTTATTTTTTTCAAGGAATCAGGTCTTAGGCTCGCTTTCTTTTCTGTTTTTCTTTTTTTTTTTTTTTTTTTTTAAGATTTTATTTATTTATTTATTTGACAGAGATCACAAGTAGGCAGAGAGGCAGGCAGAGAGAGAGGGGAAGCAGGCTCCCCGCAGAGCAGAGAACCCAATGTGGGGCTTGATCCGAGGACCCTGGGATCATGACCTGAGCTGAAGGCAGAGGCTTAACCCGCTGAGCCACCCAGGTGCCCCTCTTTTCTGTTTTTCTGGTCTCTTTTTCTGATCTTTATTATTTCCTTCCTTTGGCCACTAAATATGGGCTTACTTCTTTTTTCTTTTTTTTTAGTTCCTTGAGTATAAAATTAGATTATTTGAGAGGTTTCTAATTTATTAATAGATATTCTATCCCTTCACTTTAAACTTTGTATGTTGTTAGAGCTGAGACGTGCCCCTTTAAGCAGCATATGGTTGGGTCGTTTTCTGTCCATCCAGCCACTCTGTGCCTTTTGACTGATGGATTAAATCCATTTAAATTTAGGGTGATTATGATGGGTAAGGATATACTACTGCTATTTTATCTTTTGTCTTCTGGTTGTTTGGTCTCCCCATTGTTTCTTTTTCCTTGTTTCTGCCTACTTTTATAAGTTGGTGGTTTTCCATGGTGATTTGTTCAGTCTCCCCACCTTTTATATTTTGTGTCTCTTCTCTAGATCTTTGCCTGTGGTGACCATGAGGTTCACATAAAACATATTTTTGGTAAAATAATCTTTTCTCTGGTGTCAGCAATTTGTCTTCACCTATAAAGGATTCATCTTTTTTCTCTTCCCCTTTTATATTTTATGACACAAATTACTTCCTTTGTGCTGCGATGTCATCACCAAGTAGTAGCCATACTTTAATTCTCTTTTCCTTGGATCTTTATACTGTAATTAAGAGTTTAATATGCTATTCTAGTTAAGGGTTAACAGTTTTCTAATTCTGACTATCACCTTAATCAGAGTTTTGTGTATTTCTTTTTTTTCAGCTCCAAGAGCTTTTAGCATTTCTTATTATAAGGCAGGTCTGGTAGTGGTGATGTCCTCAGCTTTTGTTTGTCTGGGAAAGTCTTTATTTCTCCTTCCCATCTAAAGGATAACTTTGCAGAACAGAGTATTGTTGGCTGGCAATTTTTAATCTTTGAATATTTTTCATATGTCATTCATTCTACTCTCTCCTGGTCTGTAGAGTTTCTGCTGAGAAATCTGATAGCTGGATACTTTGTAGGTTGCTATCTTTTTTTTCCCCCCAGTTATCGTTCAGATTTTTTCTTTATCATTGACTTTTGACAGCTTTGATATAATTGTTTCTTGGAGAAGTCTTCTTGCATTGAGTTAAGAAGGTATTCTACTAGCTTCATATATTTGTGTATCCAGTTCCTTCACCAGGTTTGGGAAGTTTTCAGCTATTACTTCTTTAAATAAACTCCCCTTTCTTGTCCTCTCTTCCCCTTCTGGAATACTCATCATTCTTACATCGGCTTTTCCACTGGGATTTGTTTCGATACGGCATCTCAGAGGATTTCTTTTCTTTTTTAACATCTTCATTCTCGGGCGTCTGGGTGGCTCAGTGGGTTAAAGCCTCTGCCTTTGGCTCAGGTCATGATCTCAGGGTCCTGGGGTCAAGTCCTACATTGGGCTCTCTGCTCAGCAGGGAGCCTGTTTCCTTCTCTCTCTCTCTGCCTACCTGCCTCTCTACTTGTGATCTCTCTCTCTATCAAATAAAAAATAAAATCTTTAACATCTTCATTCTCTCACCCCTTCCACCTGAATCATTTTTAGTTTCCTGACTTCTAATTCACTAATTCTCTCTTCCATCTGATTTGCTGTATTTCCAACATATTCTTTTGCAGTCTTCATCTTATTTAGTGAGTTGTTCTGCTCCAGAATTTGTTTGGCTCTTTTTTAGAATTTCTTCTGTGAAGTTCTTCTGTTCATTAATCTGAGACCATTGAGTTGCCTTTCTAAGTTTTCTTGTAGCTCACTGAATTTCTTCAATAAAAGCTGTTTTAAATTCTTTATTGGTTAGATAGCACTATTCATTGGGCTCCTTTGCTGGAAAATTGTCAGGTTGTTTTTGTTTTTATTTTTAATACTGTATTACCATGGTTTTTCATGGTGCCTGTTGAAGAGTGTCTCTGTGATTGCATTTGTAGTAATGAACACCTATCTTGGGCTAAGTTTTGTTCACTCTGATTCTGACAGTTCAACCTGTAATTAGGAGCATTTTTCTTATTTTCCAGAAGGTGGCACTATAGCACATGTTTTTGGTTTCTCTAGGCTGTGAGCACTTAAAAAAAAAATGAGGGGGGGCAGTGGCCAACTCAGGGGAGTTGTGTACTTAGCATTTGGGTATTTGGGTGAGCCCAGAAGTCCATGAGCCAAATGCCTGGACAGGAAGGAGGAGACACTTTCCTGTGGTCCCTTCAGGGGACCCTGCAGCTGTAGAAGCTGCAGAATGGGTGGCTGACCCCCACTCGGCACCTTCACCCTCCACGTCCTGCCAAAAGGGTGTTGCTGACCCGCCATTTCCATGACCACTCTCCTCCTTTGCTGCCCTCCCTGCTCCCATCCACCCTTGGTGACCTGGATGCTGTGCACAGGTGCTTTTTTTTTTGTGGGGGTCAGGGGTTATAGATGTCTACTTCCTTGTAAACCAAAGGGGGAGAGAGGAAAGGAACGGCTCACCTTGTGATAGTGACATCACTCCCAGAAGTTTCCTTTCATTCTTTGGATAAACCCTACTTGATTTCTTTTTTAATTTTTTTTTAAGATTATTTATTTATTTATTTATTTGACAGAGATCACAAGTAGGCAGAGAGGCAGGCAGAGACAGAGGGGGAAGCAGGCTCCCTGCTGAGCAGAGAGCCCAATGCGGGGCTCCATACCAGGAACCTGAGATCATAACCTGAGCCGAAGGCAGAGGCTTAACTGAGCCAACCAGGTGCCCCCTTGATTTTTTTTTTTAGTCTGACATCCCCTTTATCCATTTCATCTTCCCACCAGCCTCCCCTCTGACAGCCACCAATTCTCTGTATTTAAGAGTCTGGGTTTTTTTGTTGTTGTTGTTTGTCTCTTTTATTCTTTGTTCATTTGTTTTGTTTCTTAAGTTCCATATATGGTATTTGCCTTTCTCCAACTGATGTATTTCACTTACTGTTACGCCCTCGAGATCCATCCATGTTGTTGCAAATGGCACAGTCTTATTCCTTTTTTATGGCTGAGTAATATTCCGTTGTGTGTGTGTATGAGTGGGTAGGTGTGTGCTTCCATAATTTGGTTATTGTAAATAATGGTGCAGTAAATAGTGGTGCATATATCTTTTCAAATTAGTGATTTCATTTTATTTGGGTAATCCCAGTAGCAGGATTACTAGGTCATAAGGTAGTTCTAATTTTTATTTTTTGAGGAAACTCCATACTGTTATTTTAGTTTACTTTATTGTAGGAATACGATATACAATACATATACAAAGTTGGGTTAATTGACTATTATCAGTAAGGCTTTGGTCAGCAATAGGCTATTAGTAATTAAGTTGTGGGGGAGTCAAAAGTTACGTGAGGATTTTTAACTGCATGGGAGCGGTACCCCTATCCCCATCTTGTTCAAGGGTCCACTGTATATTTGTAAGTGAATTAGACCTATTTTGTTTTTTTTGTTTTTATATAGGCCTTACCTGGTTTTAGAACAAAGATTATATGAGACTCATAAAATGAACTGAGCAGCTTCTGGAAATAATTTATATTAAATAGCAATTAATTATTTCTTAAGGTTTTAATAAATCTCAACTGTAGTTATTTGGGCTTAGGCCCAGACCCAGGTTTTAGGGTCCGAGGTGGCCTGATAACCATTTCAGTTTCATGGTCCCTTTTGCCAATTTCAGCTTTTTTTTTTTTCCTTTTAATCATTTCATTTAGGTTCTTAAATGTATTGATGTATGGTTGTTCCTAATAAACTTTCATTGTTTTTAATCTGTTTCCTGTTATTTTTTATTAATAGACATTTACTGTATTTTGTGCTATTATTTTTCTTCTCTTTTTTAAGCTCAACCTTGACAGAGGTCTCTTTATTCTCTTTTTCTTTTCAGAAAACCATCTTTTAACTCTCTTTCTTTCTGTTTATTGATTTCTGTCCTTATCTTTCTGCCCTTGTTTTTTGGGGTTTGCTCTGTATCCTTTTGCCAACATCAGTTAATTGCTTATACTCAGGTTACTCATTTTTAACTTTTCTTGTTCCCTCATCAATGTGTTTAAAGCTACATGTTTCCTTCTAAGCACTTATGCTTTAGTGTCTCCAACAACGTTTGACCTGTAGTTAAAAGTATTTCTTGGGGTGTCTGGCTGGCTCAGTTGGAGGAACATGCAACCTTGGGGTTGTAAATTCGGGCCCCACATTAGGTACAGAGATTACTTAAATAAATAAATAAATTTTAAAAAAAGATTTCTTAATGCCTTTGATGATTTCCTGTTTGGCCCAAGTGTTAGTAATGTTGTTTAAATTTCAAATATATGGGATTGATTTTTATTCTTTTTTAAAATAATTTCTGACTTTATTGGCTTATTCTTAACGGACAGAATTTATATGAGTCTTTGGAATTTGAGGCACTTTCAAGATCACCTTCAGTCTACCCAGGAATGTCTCACCAGGATAGTCTCACCACCTATTTGCTTGCTTGTTTGTTTTTTAGGTTTTCTTTACTTCCTAGAACCCCTACTTCACTCCAAGTGTCTCCAAACTTGTTTGGGGTTAGGGAGGGGACCCAGACCCCATGCTAGTTCATTACCTTGTCGGGAGTTGGTTTGTGAAATTGCTATGATCTTGATTATAATTGTTGAAAGTATCTATCTGTATATTGATATTTGATTTCTCCAAAATATTGTAACAGCAAGAGCTTATGTAAAACACTTGCGTATCAGAAAAATTCCGTTAATAAGCAGGAAGTACAACTCACAAATTGAAGAGCAAGATGCTTTTCCATCCTCCAGGTGGCGCTGTGACTTTTGTAACAACTGCTTTTCTAGACTTTTTCTTGTCAATTCTTGACCCAGAGCAGAACAGGACAAACTTTTTCTGTCAAAACCCAGATAGTAAACATATTTTGCTTCGTGAACCAGGCAGTTGGTTTCATAACTACTCAGCTTTGGTGTTATAGCTCAAAAGCAGTCATAGGTAATACAGAAACAAGTGGACATGCTGTGTTTAAATGAAACGTTCTTTACAAAAGCAGGTAGCAGGCTGGATTTGGCTCATGGGTAGTAATTTGTTGACCTCTGACTAGAATTTCTGTTATATGTAATTTCATCATTGATCTACCAATAGTCTAGAAAATTTCTCTCAATTGATAATGAGCTAGTCTCTAGACAAGGAAGGTGGTAGAGGGGCTTAGGACCAAGGCCATTAGTATGCAGACGGACTCTCAGGGCTGGAGTAGTCTAGACTTTTAGGAAGAAGGATGAGGCAGGTAGGGCAATCCCCTGTGCCCTAGAGCCTCTCAAATCCAAGAGTGCCGGCAGCCATATTTCAGTGAGTTAACAGTTTCTTTTGTTTGTTTCAGCAGAGTGAACATCATGGAAAATAAACTTTCTCTGTAGTAGCCACATCTCTGCTCAGGGTCAGACTCACATAACATGTTAAAAAACGAGAATAAGAGTCTCTAGGCCCTTTGAACAATAAGAAGTAAACATCTTTAGGTTTGAAAAGAGGAGAAGGATTGGGCAGATCAGGAAGAAGAATAATTCTTTCTTATCACAAGCTTTTAGTTCCAGAAAAGGGGAAGGGAGAAGTCTTTGACTGTATGGCATCAGAGGGCTAGCTTCCTCTCTGAGTCTTTTACTGATGCTCAGCAGGGGAAACCAAGCTTCACCTGCTGTGTGCATACCCTGTATACTATCACTGGGTGTTCCATCTCTGAAGTATCTAGCTTTTGACAGATTTGAAGACCATTTCTCAAATCACTGGAGTGTGTATTTTCAGTAGCATTAGAGCATAGCCTGTAATATGAGTGTTACCTTGATCATCTTCTGTTTGAATGGGGAATATTCTTCCTGCAAGTGCAGTGAACCCGGTTGACTATGCGTCCCAGCTCACTACTGAGTAAATCCCCTTTTCTGTTTCAGTAACTGTGGCCTCTTCAAATGGGAACGAGACGGAATGCTAAAGGTAGGTCATTTGCAAGGTGACCAATTTTAGTAATCCATGCAAAAAATGTTGACCCATTTCTCACTAAACTATTTTCATTTTTCTAGGAAAAAACAGGACCAAAGATAGGAGGAGAAACCCTGTTACCACGAGGAGAAGAACATGCCAAATTTCTGAATAGCCTTAAATAGTCCTGACTTCAAACAGGTACTTATGGCCTACATGGCTTCTTATGGCTCTGGAAAAGGAAGAGTGTTGGCTCTGTTTACTCCTGATTGACACAGTCCAAACAAATACTCGTTAAGCTTACAAGTTTTGCCTACTTATTTTCTGTTGTGTTGGTTTGATATCAAATTTAACATTGACCTTTAGGTGGTAAATCAGAATACCTTCGTCTTCCATGTTCTTGCTATTGATGGCTGCATTCGTGTAGATTTTTTGCTCAGAAATTGGAAGGTAAACTGAGAGCTGTGTTTCTATATATTTTGGGTATAGAGTGTGCAGTGTTGCTTCTTATTCAGAGTAAAATTCTGATATTTATATGGGCACACAGAGGCAAAAGAATGCCTCTGCTGGGGTTCAGTTTTCTTACCTAGAAAATGAGGAAGCTTGGAGTAAATGATCTTGAAGTGTATCTTTCAGCACTCAAATTCTTCAGATAATATGACTTTTCCCATATAAATAATTACACTCATCAACCTTGACATAATCTTGATATTTTGACATCAAGCTAGGTTCCTTCTTTCATTTCTATTTTTACCTCTCTTTTGTTTTGCAAATTAATTCACTGACTCACATGACATTTAATTCATATCTATATGGTTCTCTGTGCCCTTACAATATTGTGGAGCTCTTTAATAGAAACACTAAAATCTCATCATTTTAAAGTATGACTTTGTTTAAATATGGCTTAAAGAATTTCAAAACCTGTAACTAAAATGAATGCAGAATTTAAGCTGTGAACAATGATTGAAAAACAAATATCTCAGAACTCAGGGAGTTTGAGATTTGCAGATATAATTTATCATACACATGAAGAGTTAGAGGTCAAACCATGTGCAAATTAGCACCCCAAAAATGCTGTTTAGGAGATTCCTCTGCCAGGCAACCTGATTTTCCAAAGTGAATGGTGATATCATCCTAAGTTTGAGTAAATTGGTAGGATTATTATTACACTGGGATTTAAACTCTAGCTAGAAATAGATCAGGTTTCTGCCGAGATGGTATTATGGTAGCACACAATGCTTACAGGAGCTGGTTGTGGGAGATACTTGATTTAGATTTTCAGGGGCCAGAAAAAAACATGTACATGCCTTAAATTTCATCAAACTCTGTCTACTCAATATGAGTAGAAGGTGCTGTGTCTGACACTTGTGTTACTCCTAAGGTTATATTGCAAAAGCTATATTTTTAGGAGGATTTCCCTTCCCAAGAGGTGTTTGTTTTAACTTTTAACTAATGAAGAAAAGAACAAAGTGTTTATTAATTCTTAATAAGGACCAAAGGCACTCAAAATGGCAATATTTTTAATGGCTCATTTAGAGTAGATTTGTTTATCCCATAAGCTTAAAATAGAGCTATGTATTTGAAGAAGGTCACAGCTAAGAGGCTGCCAAGGACCTGAACTCCAGGCTGCTCCTTGAGCAATCCCCTTCTCATGAAAGAAACGTATTCCTTTTTGAACCAGGGGTACCATCGGAGTCCCTGTTCACTTGTGTGTCATATATAAGAATTGTAAGGTACTGTAATAATTTAAAAATCATTGAGTTACTTCTCAGTTACTCTAGATCTTGGGGGCTTTCATTGGAGGTCTTTATGTGCTTTTGTAGATCAGAGATGAGAAGGGGTGGGTGGGCCAGACGGGGACGTACTTGTTTGCATTGAAATTATGATTTGTCAGTGAGATCAGTCTTTTAATCCTATTATCTTTATCAGTGTATTAAATGCTTTTATATAAATCCAAAATGTGTATTTAGTTTTTCCTTACCTGTCATTGGCAATGTAGGGCTTATTGTGTAATCATGTGGTCATAGGCCATCCAAACAGAGTAAGTATGCAGTGACCTAAATTAGCAAACAGAAACTTTGTATTTCATGGGGAAGAAGTTGAGTTAGATGTTCTGATTGGTTGTCACAGCAGGTTATGTTTGTGCTGTGCTTTTTTTCTTTCTTTCTTTTTTTTTTTGGAGAGCACACAATCTTGGGCAAGTTTCCAGAGGGAGAGGGGGAGAATCTAAAGCAGATTCTCCACTGAGCTGGGAGCCTGATACAGGGCTCGATCTCATGACCCTGAGGCTGTGACCTGAGCCCAAGTCAGGAGTCAGGAGCTTAACCCACACTGACCATCCAATTGCCCCTGCCTTTTTTTATTTAGAGGAAACAGGTGGCTTATCTTTTTTCAATCACCTTTCTCTTGAGTTTTGTTTAAATATATTTTCTCTTCCAAACAACAGAAGGAAGGCTGAAGTAATTTAGATAACAGTGATGTAGAGTAGCAAATAAGGAGCTTTTGAGTGATTAGTGTGGAATGTTCCTCAGAGGCAACTTAGAAAGTTTAAAAATTTTAAAGTTTTCAACTTCTAAAAACATTACAAGTTGACCGATCCATAGCCAAGTGGACAGGAAGAGATTTCATGAACTGGGTCGTGTAAAAGTTGATGACATATGGGAAGCTTGATTGTTTATTGTGGATTAAATGTGTCTGAGAACATGGATTTTTAAGTCCAGAGGGTAAATCTGTTTGCCTAAGTATGTCATTCATAGCAGCCCATTAGAGCTCTACTTGACAACTAAAATAGACATCTTTGATCCCATGAGTAGAGATTTGGAAACTACAGCTCTCAAGGATGGATGGCTCAAAAAATGAAATTCCATATTCACCAATAGTGAAGAAACAAACAGTGATATAGCTAAGGAAAATAATAGAGAGGCACAAAATGGAAGAAATCGGTTAACTTAATAGCAGTTTGTGGAAAAGCTGTGAAATTTTTGAAAATTGAAAGAAGCCAAGAGGCACCTGGGTGGCTTAGTTGGTTGAGACACCAGCTCTTGATTTCAGCCTAGGTCATGATCTCAGGGTCCTGGGGTTGAGCGCTACATCAGGCTCCATGCTCTGCTGGGTGTCTGTTTGAGGCTTCTTTCTCTTCCTCTCCCCCTCAACCCTTCCCCCCTCAAATAAATAAATATATCTTTAAAAAAAAAAAAAACTAAGAGTATAACCACAGTGTCAAACCATGTAGATCAAAATGGGAACATGGCCTGCGGTGTCCTGCACAGGTCAGACCAAATTGACTTTCTTTTTTTTTTTTTAGATTTTATTTATTTATTTGACAGAGAGAGAGATCACAAGCAGGCAGAGAGGCAGGCAGAAAGAGAGGAGGAAGCAGGCTCCCCACCGAGCAGGGAACCTTATGTGGGGCTTGATCCCGGGATCCCGAGACCATGACCTGAGCCAAAGGCAGAGGCTTAACCCACTGAGCCACCCAGGTGCCCCTTGGCTTACCTTTTGTAGAAAAACCAGATGACAGTAATCAAGATGGTAAAAATTCAAAACCATTTCAGGAAAGGACAGAGCTAATAATATATGTACAGTTTATTTTTGTTATTCACAGTAATTATATTTTGTAAAGCCATCACTAATGGAATTAGCAGATACTGAGTCACTGTACCTAGCAGGGAATATAAGGGTAGGTTTCTAAGAGCCTCTTATCAAATTTTGGTCAACAATCCATACATAACCTTGTTTTACATGTGTTTCTGTTTAGACACCATATTTAATATATATTGTTGATATATTAACATGGAATTCAAAACGAACAGCACTATACATCATGACTGAACGAAGCTTATCTAGCACACATATCTG